TTCAGGGAGGTAGCGACCCTGCCCACGCGAGCTTCTGGTTTTCCTCTACTCCCTACTTAGGGGAAACCAGGCCCAAACCCAATATTATCCTACCCAAACCCCAAATTCCTTCCCTATATCCTCCCCCAACTCGCCAACACGTCTGGCCAGCGTGGCGTTTTAAGGCCAAACCCCCCGTAAACATGCAAAACACAAACCAAACACGGCCCTCAGTCCCCGGCAGCTCAAAAATCTCTGACCAAGGTAGCGGACAGAAAAGATTAAGAGCAGAGGGTGCTAAGAATACCCGGGATGGACCAGGCTACCACTCAAGACGGCTAAACTGCACAAGAATACTGCATCTTGCATCCTATAATATAAGAACCCTCTCAACCGATCATAAACTAATAGAACTGGAAAACGAATTAAAAAACAATAAAATGGGATGTAATGGGACTTAGTGAAATTAGAAGGAGAGGAGAAGAACAACAAACATTGAAATCAGGACACCTGTTCCACTACAGAGGAGAGGAACATTCATCCAGCGGTGGAATCGGGATCATTGTACATAAAAAAACACATACCCAACATAACAAAAATCGAGACCATAAGCACGAGAGTCATCCTATTGATATTAAAACTAAACTCTCGTTATAGTTTAAAAGTTATACAGGTCTACGCCCCGACAACTGGACACACAGATGAAGAAGTTGAAAAATTCTATGAGGATGTAGCAGAGGCACAACAAAGAACACGAACACACTATACTGTTCTCATGGGCGACTTCAACGCAAAACTCGGATTCAAACAAGACCAAGCGGAGATCGCGTTAGGAAAGTACGGATACGGGGCAAGAAACGCAAGAGGAGACATGCTTTTAAACTTTCTACATCATCAATGCATGTTTCAAATGAACTCTTTCTTTAAAAAGAAACCCCAAAACAAATGGACTTGGATAAGCCCTGATGGCGCCGTCAAAAACGAAATCGACTTTATAATTACAGATAAAAAATATATAATACAAGACGTGGAAGTACTCAACAAGTTCTCTGCTGGCAGCGACCATAGGATGATAAGAACAAAAGTAATGCTTAACGTTAAAAAAGAAAGAATGAAGCTTGTTCCTAAACCAAATGTTAGAAGATGGGTACCACCTGAAAATGCAAAACTGTTTGAACATACGGTCGAAGAAAAATTACAAAACGAAGAAACAGAAAACATAAACATCGAACAACTAAACCAGAAAATAGTCAAAGCTCTGAAACAAGCACAAGAAAAATGTTGCCCAAAAAACCAAAAAGACGAAGAAAAACTAAGTCTAAGCACGAAAACTCTATTAGAGGAAAGAAGACAACTAACAGATAAATACAGAACCAATCTAACAAAAATGAGACAACTAAACAAACAAATCACTAAGAACATCAGAAAAGATATAAGAGACTACAACACCAGAGAGATATCAAAAGTCATAGAAGAGAACAAAAGTTTAAAAGTCTTCAGAAGGAAACAGCAAATAGGAAAGAAAAATATTTACAAACTGAAAAACACAAAGGGCGAAATAATAACAGATAAACAGGAAATTCTACAAACTGTCGGACAATTTTACAGCGAACTCTACAGCAAAACAGAAGAAAATGTTCCAACTGACAACATACCAAAGGTTCTAAACCAGGGCTCGGAAGACATACCAGATGTTACTGTTGATGAAATCAAAAAAGCTCTCCTACAAATGAAAAATAACAAGTCACCTGGCGACGACGGGGTCGTTGCCGAAGCCATAAAATTAGGAGGCGAGAAACTGATACAAATGCTTTCCATACTTTTCACAGAATGCCTTGAAAGAGGAACAACACCATCACAATGGCAAAATGCAGTGATCATTCTAATGTTTAAGAAAGGAGATTTAACAAATCTCGTAAACTATAGACCAATCAGCCTCATCTCACACATATACAAGCTTTTTACAAAAGTCATAACAAACAGACTTTCGAACAAAATGGACTTTTACCAATCATGCGAACAGGCAGGATTCAGGTCAGGCTTCGGCACAAACGACCATCTACAAGTTATTAAAAGCCTCATCGAAAAATGTATAGAGTACAATAAACCCCTCGTCCTAATATTTGTGGATTATGAGAAAGCATTCGACACAGTAAACCACCAGAAAATGCTAGAAGCTTTAAAAGAGTGCCGAATAGATCACCGCTACACCACTGTCATCAAAAATATCTATGATAATGCCACGGCATGCGTCAGACTCCATGAAGATACACACAAGTTCAAAATTCATCGCGGAGTTCGCCAGGGCGACACCATTTCGCCAAAACTGTTTACAACATTATTGGAATACATGTGTAAGCGTGCAAACCTAGACGAGAAGGGCATAAACATAAATGGAGAGCAGCTTAGTCACCTCAGGTTCGCGGACGATATAGTCCTGATAACAGACCGCATAGATCATGCCATCGAAATGTGCGAAAGACTCTACCATGCCTCTACACAAGTGGGTTTAAAGATCAATAACTCAAAAACACAAGTGATGACAAACCTTGTTCTGAGTGAGAACATCAACATAGCTGGAACAAGTATAGAACAAACATCAGCATACAAATATCTGGGACACGAAATTCGCTTAAGTAGAGATAACCAGACCAATGAACTAATACGTAGAATAGGGTTGACATGGGCAGCTTATGGAAAGCTAAGAGATGTTTTCCAATCAGCCCTTCCCATCTGCTTGAAGAGAAAAGTCTTCGATCAATGTGTGCTGCCAGTTCTAACCTATGGTGCGGAGACGCTAACACTTACTAAGACGTCCGCAAACAAAATTCGAACAACACAGAGGGCAATGGAACGGTCCATGTTGGGATTAACCCTGAGAGACCGAATACCCAACACAGAATTGCGCCGTAGATCGGGAGTAACCGACGCAATCAAAAGAATATCAACCTTAAAATGGAACTGGGCAGGGCACGTCGCGAGAACGAAGGACGGCAGATGGACAAAACGCATTCTTGAGTGGAGACCCAGACAAGATGCCTTTAGAAATAGAGGACGACCACCAACAAGATGGACGGATGACCTGAAACGGACACATCAAAATTGGATGCAGGCGGCTCAGGACAGAAATTTGTGGGGTGAACTACGGGAGGCCTATGTTCAGCAGTGGACGAGTATGGGCTGAATGATGATGATGATGATGATGTATTTTATTAAACCATGGTGGGTCGACTTAGGCTTACGTATAGCTGCAAAAAATTCAGCTACCCTGTGTTTCACTAGATACATAGCAGCTGTGGTAGACTAAGCTTACCTGATAAGATCACCATTGATGGCTACACTATAATTGTTGTTAATCATTACAAAACATGTGGGTATTGTTTTAGACAATACGAAAAATGTGAAAAAGGCATTAACGCATTTAAATTTGTAACTGCCAACGTTCCCATTTTGGGAACACCTATCAAAACATTGTTTTAGGGTTTTTTATGCAATTATTTTTGTAAATCGGACTACATATTTTTTGTAAAAGCAAGGGGCCTGCTAGTTTATCAAAAAATTTTACTAAGATTTTAGTTCATTTTCTTAGCAAAAAAAAAATAAAAAACACAAAAATTCAAGTTTGTGATTGGTTTTACGGTTTTTGTCATTAAGTCCGCAAAAATTATTTTATTGCCATTATTTTTTTAAGTAAGGTAGACAATTACTACCTTAGTAAATAGTTTATACTGCCGCTTCAATTCTCTTTTTTACTTTTTGAAGAAAATTGTCGGAATTAACTATGTCCCGAAATGAGAACGATGGCATCATTTAGTATTGTCTATTCGCTTAGCTAGGGCATATTTTGACAGACTCATTGTCGGAAACCTACAACACAACAATTCCTACTTCTCAGTATTAATAGCTCAAGTATACTACTATTGCAGACTTCTTTCTTTGAAAAAAAGAAGAATTATACTAAATAGTGGAGTGTATACTAAACCCATCAAATTTTCCCTGTATAAATATAATATTTGAATTGTTACAATTTAAAATATTGTAGTAAATATTTGTATTATTCGCGTTGTTTATTTAATTTAATATAGTTTTATTATCTTTGTTTAATTCTTTTGTTAGTTCTATTCAGTTAATTAGTTAGTTATATTTTAAATTTTATTATTATGGATAGTAAAGTTTTCCATTTGTTCCATCAGCTAATTCGTTGGTAAGTTTTTCTTAATAAATATGATAAAATGTTTTTTAAAAGTTAATATTTTTAGATTAGTTGTTTCTAATTTAATATAAACTTGTTTATACTTACATGGAGGTTTTTGTTGTTTGTTTGGGTTTATATGACTGCAGACTGCGGCCAGGACACTGAATTCATTCACCATAATATGTGGAAGATTTTAACATCCTCAAATGCTAATGAGCAAAAATTACTATTGAACCACGAATTTGCCTAGTCAAATTACTAATATTTGCTTTTTAGCATATGGAAGTACACTTATTTTGTAAGATAATAAAACAAAAGTTTATGTTAATGCTATTCAATGAACTGTTAATCTTTAATCATTGATTCCAACCTAGTCACAACATAAGGAACTTGCTATGTCTTATTTAACCTCACTTTGACTATTTTAATTTTGTAGAATTTATTCCCACTTTTTTTATTTTGTACAATAAATAATTTTATTATTTGCTATCAATACATTATACGGTGTAAATAAATAAATATCGATTGTCGGCAAAGTTCTATTTTATTTACTTGCTTGTATGCTTGGTTGTATAGTAATTTCCAGCCACTTCGAGTCTGTCAAAAAGTAACTAACTTCGCAAAAAATAATTACTAAAATCACTAGACAGTTCGGACTGGCAATAGCGAACCGGGTATACCTTACACTAACTTATGTAATGTAGTGGTAGTAATGTAATAATGTGGCGTATGTCAAAATTTTCAATAAATATGTCAAAGTCATAATGTCATAAATGAAACTATTATTTACTTACTAAATTTGAAATTTTCGTGTTAACATACTATTATGGAGCCAATTAAAAGGTGTGCTAAACAGTCCGAAGATAAGAAGCCATTAACAATAACTATCACTGCATGCAAAAATAAGCACGTTCATATCTGTACCCACGATGATTGCTGCCCAGATATAACCCAACAAGTTAATAACCTATTAAAAGAAGTAGAAGCAAGTAATAACAAAATAAAAAGTAAAGAATTCGACACCAAATCAGAAGAAGCAGAAGAAGTTAATAATAAATCAATAGAAGAGGAAGAACTCGATAGCGAAACAGAAGGAGAAGAAGAACCTAATGACAAAATAGAAATAAAAGAAGAAGAAGTTAGTAACAAGACAGAAGAAGAAATTAGTAACAAAACAGAAGAAGAAATTAGTAACAAGACAGAAGAAGAAGTTAGCAACAAGACAGAAGAAGAAGTTAGTAACAAGACAGAATCAAGTAATTGATACAACAGAAAACAGCAAGTAATGTAAAACAATAAAGTTTTTAGGAATCGTTTCCTGTTTAATGATAATACATAGTAATATTTCAAACAAAACATATTTTCTAATTATTTTATATATTTCTAAACTTACTAAACTTATTATTTAAACCTGGTGGATCCGCTCCGACGAATAAGTGCAGGTTCTTGTTCTATCGACTTATCCTGGTCGGGAAATTAAACCAAGAAGAAGAGTGATAACTTAAATTGATAGATTATGCTATCCCATGACACTAAGACTTCCAAGATAAACCCACTTCGCAATCGAATTTTGTACATCGACGCGCATGACGTCAATTGGTGATAAAAGTCACTTTTATCACCAACCTTTTATCATCACAGTCGGTAAAACATATATGGAAAGAAAGGGGTTTTTATTTAAATATTTAGAATATTAAGGGATGTTAGGTAAAATATCTGCAATTAAATCTTAAAAATATGTTATATATATATACATATTTGTTAGCCTAGCAATGTAAACTAAAATTATATAAAAAGTAAGAACTAAACATCCTTTTTGCAAATGGAAATTTATATACAATGGATTGATTTATTAAAATAAAAATTTAATACAACTGATAAAATAAAATACACTGTAATAATTTACAAGTTTATTTAACAATTTATTTTACAATTTTTAATATTTTCTTCTTCTTAACTTTGGATGTTTCTTTAATATATCTATTCAATTTTCTAATTTTAAAATATAATTTACACCTTTACTAACATTACATCTGAACCATCGAGCAAAAAGATAAAAGAGGGAATGTAAAGGCATGATACTATGAATAACAAGATAGGATCTTCCTGTAGCTCAAAATCGGTCGGGTTCGCGCATGCCGTCATTGGAGACTATAATTTGAATTCTTGTTAAAGTTAAATGAGATTTGTATGCATTCTGTGATGAAATTACTAGACGAAAATAAGTTAAGAGGTTTAATAATTACAATAATCGTACACATAAGGATATCTCCAAACTATTTATTAAAGATTATTTATTGATATATACAAAAACTGACATTTCGAACGGGCAAGTCTCCAATGACGTCACAAAAACATGCGCAATATCTTATCTTATAGTCATAGTATCATGTGTAAAGGTAGTGGGGATAAAAATATTGTTAGACAGGAAGTGCTATCTTTAAGAAGTCAAATTTAGTTTGGTTATGTATTGTTTGTCCCAACTGTCACATGAAATTTTATTTATATTGAAGTTTTTTACCAATTATGTCACTTTTTAGACTGTTATCGTTGATATTTAATTAAAACTTTCTTGTCTGAAAAATATTTTACAGGTATTGTTAACAAGTGTTGGAAAATTTAAATTTAGCGCCTTTGCATTTCAGGATATGTCCGCCATCAGAGGCCACTTTTTTGGTCTCCTTTTCATAACGATTAGATTCCCTCTTTTATCTTTTTGCTCGATGATCTGAACACAGCTAAATCCATTAGCTAAATAATTCTTGGTTAATTTTAATGACCCTTTGTTAAAATTGTTAAAAATATGGTCCAGTTCATTACATTTAATTAGAAAATCTGGATATGGTTTAAGTAAACCTCCTTCGGAAAGATGGTTTACCCAGTAAACCGATGTCAACGTACAAGATAATCGATAAAACAAAACTATTATAAATCTCAAGGTTAGTAGATATTTAAGTACATACTTAAATATCTACTAACCTTGACTAAATCTGACAAAACTCCATACAACATAGAAAATTTCTGGTGACATTTGTCGCCAAGTGACGTCACACGTCTGATCGTGTGCGCGTGGGTTTATCTGTAGTTTATAGTATCATGATGCTATCCTATACCATAAAGAGCACACTCGATGTCACTACAAAGCTCACAATCGTCTAGCCGACCAGTTAAACCCAACAGAGCCTTATGAACCACCACAAGAGTGGTCCTTATGACTCCTGAGTTGATTACGTACGCAAATTGCTAAAGGTGAGCCAGCTCCGAGGTAATACAATGGCCGCGTCAGAATAAGATATATTATAGACTGGTACATTCAATAAAGGATTTTAGGCTGTAGACTCCATTTGGCTACGAAAGCTTTAATACAGATGTTTTAATCTTACTTAATACTACATTTTGTAGAAAGTTGTTGAATATTTTATTTATTTTGGTCTAAACAGACACTAACTCTTCTCTGCAAATAACAAAACAGAACATTTTGCAAAATTTTAATTTTTTAAGTTCTGAATTGGTAATAAGTCATACAACAACATAACGTACATTTAAATCTTAGTTAATTATTTAGTTGGAGATATGATTTCGGTGTTTCTGCTTATTTTTCTGCTATTAAAAATCTCTGAATCCGCCATTATCGCTTTAAGGTTAAGGTATAAATAAATTTAAAAAAATCTCTAAATGGTTACTCTGATTGTGTATTGTTAAACCATCGCTATGATAGGTTCCCATTTTGCAATTAACACTGTTGTACACGTTGTCGTTTACTTATATATATTTATGCATATACATATATTGAGATAATATGAAATATACATATGAGAAACGAAGGTAATCTAAATTGAACTTAAATAGTGATTAAAGAAATAATTTATAAGTTATATAGTAGAGAATATCATAAAAAGTATTTATATGAGGGTATTCTTAAGAAATTAGCATAATAATAAGTTTAAAAAGCATATTTTGCAATGTATTCGGTTATTTTATTAATTATGATGTTATGAATATATTTGAGTGCGCTATCTAAATAGGCAACCAAATTTACTTCAAAAAAGTGTTTATTTTGCAATGTATTTGGTTATTTTAATAATTATTATTATATAATATTATGAATATATTTGAGTACGCCATCTAAATAGGCAACCAAATATACACTGAAGTGAGTTTGGGTCATTATGGCATTTGTAAATAAGAGTGAATTTGAACAGAAAGTAGACATTTAAAATGATAATTACGGATTTAAAATAGTGTTATTTGTTAATTTAAGATGTTTAATTTACATATAAGCTTACATTCTGATCTAGAATGTAAATCTTTAGAAAAGCCTAAATTTCCATAAAATTCTCGATATAAGGGTAAAGAATTATCTAGACATTCAAATAAGACGTCAATAGAATGAAGTTAACCTTATTTGGGTATTAGAATTTTTGCGAAATTTCAAATATCTATGAAATAGAACAAATCCAATATATTTTCTTTCAAGATTATTCGAGAACATTGAAAGGATATAAATACTCTGTGATTTTGAGGAGAATGATTATTAGTCAGATTAGTCAGTATGGTCAGTATTCGTGTATTAATATAAAGGACAGTATTTGTTAGTCAAGTCAGTATACAGAAGACAGTGATTTAGTATGAAAGTTTTATAATATTTTGAAAAGTATATTACATGAAGATTAAGAAAATAGTATTAAGAGAGTTTTAAAATTAAATTAAATTATAATATTTATATGGTGATTGGACATTGGAAGAAGAAAAAATAAGATTGGTAGAAAGAAGAATAAACAAGAAAGCAATAAATAAAAAAGAATATTTTGCCGATTTATAAATGTTATTGAGAAAAAAAATATTTTAAAATGGTGGAAGCTGATAATTAAAACATTGTGGTGTACAAGCAATTTCACAAAAAGAAGGATAACCGAGGCTGATAACGAAGATATTGAGTGGCGATTAAACCCTTTATTTTGGAAAACAGTTTTATTTGGGCATTCAGTGACAGAGAGGTACCAAATTTTGTTAATATAATTTAATTATTGTAAGAATTTTAATTTTAAGATAGGTTGTTCTAAATTTATATTGTCTATATTAGAGATATATGTGTGTTTCATAATAATTATAATAACGATAATTTAAAAAAGTACTTACAAACTAATTCTTTGAGAACCGCGATAAAATATTAAAAAGTACTCATTGCTCACACACAAACAAAACATCTTAACACTATATATATATTATATATATATATAATATATATATATATATATATATATATATATATATATATATATATATATATATATATATATATATACAATACCAAAAAGAGAGGACTGGGAAAACTGGTCCGCCGCTAACAGCAAACTCAATATGGTATACGGACGGCTCCAAAACGGATACAGGTACGGGGGCTGGAATATATGGCATAAAACCAAGGACGGAAGTCCGGGTATGTCTAGGAACATACGCGACCGTATTTCAAGCCGAATTAGCTGCTATACACAGGTGCGCTATGGAACTAATCGGCCAAAATGTAGATAACGACTCCATCGTCATCTATTCGGATAGTCAAGCGGCTCTAAAGGCTCTCAGTTCGGTACAGGTCGATTCATGGCTAGTGATGTGAGTTGTAAAATTACATAACTTACGTTACATAAATTACACGTAACTTACGGTAATATTACATGATACCCGTAACTTAATGTATATTTATGTAATTTTTGGAATTTACGTAATTTTGAAATTTAACGTAACTTATGATAAATTTACATAAATTACCGTAATTTATGTAATTACTGGTAAAATTACATATATTATGGCAACTTATGCGCGCGCAATTGTCGTAAGTGCGGTGCGCCGGTGCCGGCGCGCGCGAACCAGTGGGTGCTATTACGCTCGTCGCTCGTTAGTCGTTCCTTAGTCTGAGTCAGGCAGGTTATGTTTACATTTCTGTTATTGTATGTGTAATGTGTATGTATAAGTTAGTTTTCGACTGTTCTTTCTCTATTCATTCACGCAGCGTTGGTTACTTTACATTTATTTATAAGGAAGCACAGAAACTATAAGGTAAGAAATATATTATTTCTACAAACAGCAAAACACGTGCCGGTGATGTCCATAGCAACCTTAGATTGGGAAACACAGGGGCGGGCCTATCGCATATCGACTGTACGTTAAATCTAACGCGCGTCATTTTATATGTGGCTACAGTACTTAATTCTGAATTCGGTTTACCAAGTTTTATTCGATTTTTTAGATTAGTTTACTGTACAA